AGTTGGAACATAACTTTCTTATTCATTAGAACCCATTTGTATTAATCACTTGAGAAATTGGGATAGGTGTAGTGTTGTGAAGATATTTTAAAGAATAATACTACAAGCTTAGAGTGTATCCATTGGGAATAAAAATGGGGAGAGCTGATTATAACCAGAGTTTTCTAAACCTGCCTGGGATTTTAGGTTCTAACCCAGAACTGCTATATCAAGATCTTTATTGGCCTCAGAATTTTATATTTTCAAAAGAAAAGCTGGGCCCATGTGGATTGCCTTTGGGGCATGACTGCTTTGTCTTCGTGATTTCCCTCTGAGCCTGTGGTCCTCTGCAACACTGAGAAAACCTTGGATCCACCGAAATCGGGGGTTTGGACTGTATAGAGGAAACACACATACCCCTGTCCCATTGCTATGAGGCCCAATCTGCACAGCGTGTGGTCCTTTCAGGGTGAAAAACAAGAAAGTATGGTCCAACCCATACTTTGTCAGAAACTGTATTGGGAACTGAGATCTAGAAGTTATTATAATTTTGTCCTTTCCATCACAGCTCTTAATGTCCATCTTATCTCGCCAGAGAATCCCCTGTCTAGGTGAAAGGACAAGTAAGATACATCAACATTGACTTGTCAGCAGCATTTGGTTTCCTGTTTGAATCAGTAGTTCTCAAATCCTAGCTATGCTTCAAAATCATTGGAAGAATTAAAAACACGCATACAGATGCTAGAGGCTACCGCAGGTCTGTGAATATAGACTCATAGGCACAAGCTCATCCTGGTATATTTGTAAAAAGCTGGCCAAGTGAAAACAAGGTCCAGTGGGTCTGAAAAAGCACTCTTGGTGTCCTCCTGGCCGTCCTCAGTGAAAAGAAGGTGAACTTCAGCCACACACCTAATCTGGAACCATGACACTGCCAAATGCTGAAAAGGAAGTGGAGCACAGGAATTCCCATTCACTGATGGTGGGAATGCAGAATGACACAATTGGACAGTTTCTACAAAACTAAACATACTTTTACCATAGGATCCAG